GGTGCTGGTGCTGGTGCTGGTGCTGGTGCTGGTGCTGGTGCTGGTGCTGGTGCTGGTGCTGGTGCTGGTGCTGGTGCTGGTGCTGCTGCTGCTGGTGCTGGTGCTGTTGCTGTTGCTGTTGCTGTTGCTGTTAGCCTCTGGGCTCAGGCGAGGTCAGGCTAGCACAGTCCGCCTTTTCCTCGCTCGCCATGGCAACTTCTGTCAGAGCCTGAGCTGCTCCGGTCCCAAGTCCGGAGGGAAGCACGCGCTAGCAACAGAGCCAACTTGCTTTCACTTCTGAGGGTTGTCGATTAGCGAAGTCGACAGGAGTTACGCTCAACATGAGTGTGACGAAACAGCATCACGACTCAACCAGCAACCGGCCCAAGCACCCCAAAGGGGCAGGCAAAAGGTCCTATCAGAAGGCGTTGCGAGAAGCAGAGAAGAACGGTACTGCCTTCTACAGAGGAAAAAGTCTCACCCTTCAAGCGCTAGGAGGAACTCCAGCCATTCCTAAGCCTGAGCCATCAAAACGGTCAAAGCCCTCTAGAAGCCGAGAACAAGACGAAATAAGATATTTATCTTGGAATGCGGGGTCGCTGACGACTGCAGTTTGGGAAGAGCTACTCTCCCTGCTAGCCACGGATGCTTACTCGGATGTCAAAATAGTCTTGATTCAAGAAACACACTGGAGAGGCAGCTGGCAATTCAGCAAGGACAGCTGGCATGTGGTCAGTTCTGGCACTCACCAAGAGCAAGGCGCTGGCGTTCTAGCCACGGTGCACAGCTCGGTGTGTCAAGCGAAGGACATTCGTTTTAACGAGGTCCTTCCCGGTAGATTGCTGCACGTGCGAATACCAGGAACCATGTTTTCTTTGGATGTGATTTCCTTCTATCAATTTGATTGGAGATCCAAACAGACCCTAACACAAAATCAGGAGCAACGCAAAAATGCTCTGGACAAATTGTCTAAGACAATAAGCTCCCTCCCACAGAGGAACTCCCTGATTGTAGCGGGGGACTTTAACACTTCCCTTAGGCCAGATAAGAATTTCGTCGGGCCTTGTACCATAGGGATCAGCAAGCTAGGGCAGCGAGGAGCCAAGGATCTTCACAAACTCCTGGAGCAGCACAGGCTGGTGGCTGCTAACACTCAGGTCGACGCAGCGCTGGCATCCCAGGAGCCATCCTGGTCGGGACTAAGGTCAGCCATGGAAACAGCGCTGCAGGCTGAATTCCCTCGCAAGGGGGGCACGAACTCATACAGAGCTACTCAAGTCTGGGACCGACGCAGAATCCTGCGCAACCTTCCCGAGGTACTCTTGGCATTCGCTGATCTGCACCGACAGCTAAAACAGAGGGTAGTGTGGCGCACCTGGGCGGCCCAGGCCAGGCAGAGCGCGGAAGCCCGCACTGCCAAGCAACGCAAATTTGCGCAGCGTCAGGCCCTGATAGATGATCAGCTTCGCCAAGCGGAAGCCAAAAGCGCCATGGATGGGAGCCACTCCCTCTACAAAGTCATCCGAACTTTCAAACGAGGAAGGCCCAATGAAAGGGTCCAGCTCCGAGATGAGCAGGGTCGTTTTCTCACCTCCAAGGAGGAACGAAAGAAAGGTCATGGAAGAGTATTCCCGAGACCTGTTTGGGACTGGTTTGGACTTCGTGACTGGACGTGGCACCGAGGAGGCCATCTGCAAGGCCCTCACGCATGTCGATGAGGCAAGGGCCAGAGCCCAGCAAAGTCAGCGGCATGCTGGCCGCGGACACAGGGGGCTAAAACTGCGGGGCAGTATGACTCTGAGCGCGGACATGAGCAAGGCTTTTGACATGGCAGATAGGCGTAGGTTGCGAGAATCTCTAGAACTGGCTGCAGCAGATCCATTCCTAATTGACCTGGTAGGCAAACTTCATGTAGAGGCTCTCTATGAAATGACGGCCAGCGATCAAGCATTCAGCGTAGCCACCCATCGCGGTATCAAGCAGGGCTGCAAGCTAGCACCGTCTCTTTTCGCCTTTGCAACATTCCTTCTGTTTCGGAAGCTGGGCGAACACTGCGACATTGAGGCTCTCCGCGAAATCCTCACTATGTACGCAGATGATACCCTGCTACAAAAGCATTTCGATGATTTGCCACAAATGCAGGAGGCACTTCGACTGTGTGACCTGCTGCTTGATCAGCTCACAGAGCTAGGCTTCAAGGTCAACCCAGAGAAGTCAGCACTGCTTCTGCAGCTTCACGGGGGCTCCGCGCAGCAGGTCACAAACCAGCTGGTAGTCACCAAAAAGGGCGCGAAATATGTGCAGCTGCCTTCAGGTCGTCTTATCGCGCTAAAGACACAGGTCCCCTATCTGGGCATCATCATTTCCTATCACGATTATGAGATGCAGTCACTCCGACATCGCCTACAAGCCAGCAAAGCTGTGATGAAGGAAGTGGCCCATGCAGTTCGCAATAGCCACGCCATCACTGAAAAACGTCGACTGTCCATATGGCGTATCACAGCATGGGCATCAGCCCTTTACGGACTGCACGTGGTAGGGCTCACTGAGCAGGGACTCGCAGCGTTGGAGTCCCACATGATATATCAGCTGCGTTTTGTCCTGAGGAGTTACTCCCACCTGACACATGAATCAAATTTGCACTTTATCAGGCGAAGGGGCTTTAAAACTGCAAAGTTTCAGGTCCTGCAACGTCTTCAGAAATTCTTGAAACGGCAGAAGAAAGGGGATAAGGAGGTACTCCTTCCTCTCTATCTGCCAAGGGCGGAGCGGTTAGCAGAGCTAATCCCACAGCTTTCTGCAGCCGGGAACAGCGGCACAGATCGCCAGGATCCCAGTCAAGTATGCACCGAGTGCGGCGCGATCTTCATAGGCACCGGTGCCTTGCGGAGACACTCGCAGAAGCACCATCCCGGAGTCAGGCTCTTCCCTAAAGGTCCTAGATTTGACCCCAAAAAGCATTCCAGGGCAGGCGCACCAGAATGTTTAGCTTGTGGCCGAGCATTCGTACATATTTTTACCTTCGTCGACATGTTGAGATCTCTACCTGCCCGCGAGTTCATGTCCTCTTGCACAGCGGAATGCTGGACCCAGTACAGAGCTGGACCAGATACATGCAACAGTGAGGCAGGAGTCATTGCGAGACGCAGCGTCGGCAGCCGCCAACCCAGATCTACACTTTTGGCTCAAGGAGAGCTGTGCACTCTGCGGTCAGGCACTAGCTGGCAACAAGGCTGTCAAGCAACACCTTAATCGTCAGCACCCGGAGGTCATGAGCAAAGTACAACCTATCATCACACCGCGTCTACAACAGCACAAGGTCATGATGAAGAAAGGTAGTACATGTCGCTACTGTCAAACTAAAGTCGACGCGCCTGGAAGGCATTCAGAACAATGCGTGCCGTTACTCCAGACACATGTTCTCCAGGAGGCGCAACGACAGGGGTTAGATATGGCCCCTCGGGCCCACGAAGCCCAGCCTAAGAAGCAGCCTAAGACGGGACAAACGAAGGTCGCAGTGCAGGTGGGGCTACAGGCCCCGATGTTTGTCTTGCCAGGCTTTTGGCTCTTGGCAAATCGACGAAATCACTGCTATGCCAACTCGGTGCTACAGGCGCTGCACTGGGCCGTGCCAGCAAACGAGTTGTTGATCACACACGATGCAATACGAGCAAGTCAGCTAGCGAGAATAACCCCGGAGCATCCCTCACTCGAACCGATCATCAGAGGCTGGACATGTGATGGGAGCCAGCAAGATGCAGCCGAGTTTCTAACTACCATCCTGCCTAATCTTTTTCCCCTGTCCCTCGGGGTATGGGAGACGAGAGCACCAATGGAAGCAGCTCGCCTGCATCCTTCAAGATTCCAAATGCCTTCTAAAGGAGGCGGTACATTGTTGATGAGGAGGGCAACTCCCCAGTTTTCTTAAATGTGAATATGGAGGCTGACTTGCAAACCATGATTAACAACTAGCGCAACAGAACACCAGCACATGCATTCATTCCTCCAGCTCGCTTTGTGTGTTTAGCCATTCCTCGGTATGCAGGGCATGGGAAAAATAGGCAGTCACTCAAGCTGCAAGAAAGGGTGCTATGTGGGAGCTGACTCAGCTATGACTATGACCAGAGTCGGCTTCCAACTAAGGTCGGGAATCGCGCATCTCGGCGCGGAGTCCACGACAGGCCACTACCGTAGTTTCGTAAACTCGTCAGGTCAGTGGCACGTAGGTGATGATGCCCAACCGCCTACAGCTTGTCAGCTATCTGATCCGTTGATTGCCAGCAACTGCTATCTTCTGCTACTCGAGCATCAGGAGGAGTAGAGCTGCAAGTCCTTGAGCCATAAACATGTCCCTGGAGGACTTCTTTCGCGGTGGTCACACGCTAGATGTAACGGCCAAAAGAGGCGAAGTGCCTGGTAACCCTGGAGGAGATTCTCCCCAGCGGAGGAGCTCCCCCACCCAAGGGTCAGGGCAAAGGCAAGATGGTCGGCCAGCGCCGCAAAGATGGCCGGTCTGCGGGAAGTGAAGAAAGCGAACTGGTGACGGCAATGGCGAAATTAGCCCTCAGACACGATGAGCACATGACGGCTCTTGATCTCTGCTACGTATCGTACGTGCGCACAGATGCACACTCCGTGCTGCCAGAGCTGTATGCAGAGAGCAAGCGTCAGAAAAGCCTGATGGCACCATCGACACCCCCGCGCCATGCCATGACCACCAAGTTCTTCCAAGAACTCAAGAATCGCGTGCTGAAAGGTCGACCAGTCTGACACGATGCAGCAGAAGGTAAAGCACGAAGGCATACTTTCGAGTCAGGGAGACTGGCGCTACCTCGAATGGAGCCCCGAAAGCCAGTCCATGGTTGAGACTTTGGAGGATCCATTGAGCACCTCTCAGCTTCTGGCTGGGATCGGAGATGTGCTCTCCCGGCTCGAGGCCGACACGACGCATGTGACGATGTTCAAGGCCTCGCGACCTATCACCGAACGGATGGTTGGTGGCCCGGTTCGCCTCCTTTTCAGTTTTCCTGAAAAGTTGGGTCTTCTGATTTGCTTGACTCGTTAAGCACTCTGGCTGATAACTCGGCATTTAGTCTCCTGAATGGAGACTTTCAGAAGCAGGGAGCACAGCCTTCTCCGCTCACCAAGCAAATTCGCAACATGCTCCGCTAAACGCAGCATGGAATCAACTTCCTGTAAGCCTCAGCAGTAGGCTGCCATGGGGGGACACAGCAGGAGATTGGATGAGAAGGCGAGGAGTAACTCCCGCGTCTCTGTCTCGCAGCTAGCTCAGTTTCCCCCCCCAAAAGATAACAGCACAGCCCCGACGCACAGGTGCGAAGGGCGAGGAGCAGCTCCCGCGAGGCCTGCATCAGTCTGCTCTTTGGGTCAGTCAGAGCTTGTCTTCTGCAGTGCAGCCTAGTAGCAGAGCCCATGCAGCCCTGATCCCAGCTCTCTCTCCCTCGCGTGATCATGGCCTACGTTCTGCAGCCTACAAGGTTGGTGGAGGTCCTCTTGCCAGTCTTTGCAGCTTTGCTGCATGAGACGGAAGTGGCGGCCGGCAGAGAGTCACTCGCCGGGTCGTTCATCACGCAAGTTCAGTCTTTGGTCCAAGCCAGATCGGTGAAGATCAAAGCGCAGCTGTTCCTGGTCGCGGCGGAGCTACTCCCCGCGGCAAAACTGAAGCAGCTCCACGCCTTCTGTGAGAGCCTGCGTGGATATGACGAATGGAACGAAGTCAGGCTGCAGAGGAGACGCTCCCTCGGTCAGATCGCGATGCTGTACTACTCGTTGTCAAAGACGAGAGAGTTCACAGACCTGGGCTGGTCAAGGCTGTCAGGATTCTTGTACGACGTGGAGGGAGCTGCTCGCGAAACCCACATTCTCTCACATGCTCAGCATCTACTGCCGGACAATATCAGACATCAGTTTGACCTGGAATCCGAGCTCATGCGGCAGCAATTCTTTCGAGAAGATGCCCAGCTTAACTCGGCCATAGCAGCTTGGGAGGCGCAGCTGAGTGAGCTCCTGAATCAGGAGTGGTGAGCAGAGTGGGGCAGAGTAGCTCTCCCCGCCGGTGGAGTTGCTCCGCAAGGAGGAGAAACTCCCGAAGAGCGGCGGAGTAACTGTCGAGACGGAGGACTCCAACAGCAGTTTTTGCACAAAAAGGAGTTTGGGCCGAGAATCTGAGTGTCACGGTAGTCAGCATTAAATGCCCTGCGTTGCAGGCGACAAGTTAGCATCGAGGAGAGACTCCGATGAGGCCTGGAGCGACCCCTTAACTGTTGTCCGGGTAGGATACATCGAGGAGAGACTCCCGATGAGGCCCGCAGAGCACAAGTGTTTGCCGTTTGTCCTTGCCTTCTTAGAGTACAGGTTCAGCCGAGCCCAGACCCCCAACTCCATCCACTGTAAGGTTTTGAACACTCATGGATGCCATCAGCTCAGATTGCCTCGTAGCTCAAAGGACTGCAGCTTGACCAGCTTACTTCTGTTCTGTCTGCAAGCCTCGAGCTTAACTCAAGTTCAATAAGTAGACTCAGAGTCTGTTCACACAGCTTCAGCATAACATAGGAACCCTCGCTCGGAATGTGGCAGCACGACGCCCAGTACAGAGCCGAATCGTCGTGCAGCCGAAGGGTTGCCCAAAGTTTCGTATCGAAATTATCTCCGTCATGGAGACGTTCCGAAGAGGGGCACGTAGAGCGAGGGGACCCTCGCCTCGAGAAAGGGAGGAACACGCGTAGTTTTTCAAGGCCCCCGTCCGGCTCGAACGGCGACAAGGTCTGCAGGACCACTGAAGGACAAAACAGGTCCTAACAGGATGTCACACCTTCGCTGACCTGTCACAAGCGGTGCCTCGGACTTTGAGCACTTGAGCCAACATGACGATCGCTCTTGCTTGCTTGCTTGCTTGCTTGCTTGCTTGCTTGCTTGCTCGCTTGCTTGCTCAAGGCACAGGTCCGAAGACCCGCGCTGAAGCGCCCCCCGTGGCAAAAGAAGACAAAGGCTTCATGCTGCAAGCTCCCGACCCTGAACACGAAGAACCTCCCCGCATCCCGGCCTCATCGCCGTGCCCCTATGGCAACCACGTGCAGGGGCTTGCAGTCTCTCAAACACACTGGTATAGCCCGGACACCCTCTAGGCCAACAGTTGCACCACGCTAGAACCAGCAACAGTATGAGCACTTCCTCCCCGATGGCTCGGGCCTGGGCATCCTTTGAATGGGGACCTTTCAGAAGCATACACACTGAGCAGGGTTTAGAGTACAAAATTAGTTGTCTCCCTTTTCTGTGCTTTGTCCCCGGTGAAAAGGCCGAACGTGGCTTCGTGAAACTTTGGGCGGTGTCTCCGGGTCGACGTTCCGGACTTAGAAATGGCCTTCTAACTCAGGCGAGCCCCCAGCATGCGAGACAACCTCTAGCTCTCTCCAGCTCTTGCTTGCTTGCTTGCTTGCGCGACGTTT